AAAAAAAATAAAAATAAAAAAAAAAATTTATGCTTACCTAAGTCGAATTGACCGTCCAATTTGTTCACCGGATATCCGATGATCTATCTGATCAATCCGGTGATATAAACGGATCAATCCAAATCCAGTCAAATTTTGGATGGATGACTGGATATCTGGATTGATCAGATTTAGAGCACACCTCTAATTGAAACCATTATATAAACGATTTAAAAGACATGATGATATTTTAATGATTATTTCTTATCATAAGGATTATTGGGCTAAAAATGTATTGAATATTAAGAAGCAAGAAAAAGTTTTTTTTTGAGTAATTATTGATAAAGTTTCACAAGGATTTTGTGATAATTTTATTTGTCAAAAGTCATAAAATTTTTAAAAGCCCTTTATTTAAAACTTTAATATTTTAGTTTTTATTTATCTATCTTTAATTTGAAATGGATTAACAAATTATATTAAAGTAAAAGCAATTCTTAATGATTCTCATTATAAAGTAAACATAAATACATAAAATTAGATAGTAGAATATTGAAGTACTGGGTGTTATTTTCAAAAAAAAAAAAAAAAAAAAAAAATAGTAGCAAGTACTAAAGTAGTAAATAAAAAATAAAGAAGTTAAAAGTGATGCTTTATTTATTCTTTCAAATAAAACTGAATAAAATTGGTAAAAAAAAATTTAAATTTGTTTATTTATTTTCTATATATTTACCATTTATTAATTTTATTATTTAATTTTTTTTCTATATCTATTATTTGGTCTAATTTTTGTTAATATAAATTAACAGCAAATGATTTTTATCATTTTAGACATGAAATTTCTAAAAATAATGTTAGTAATAGTAAATTAAAAATAAAATTAATTTAATGAAAATAAAATTTATATCTTTATTTTTACTTTCAATTGTTTTATTAACCTAAACCAATTTTTTGATTAGAAACCAGATATACAACTAAATACAATAATTTATAATAAAAATAATAAAAATAAAAAATAAAAATAAAAATAAATAATAAATATATTACATGATCTTTATTAAAAAAAACCCTTCAAAAAAAAAAAATAAAAAAAAAAAATATGTATAGAAGAAAAAATATCTATTTAAAAAGATTTGAAAAACTAAAGGCGAACTGAGTAACCACTTTAGACAGTTCAGTACCCACTCATCTTTTTTCTTTTTAAAAAGGATTTTTCTTTTAATTCTTGTAATTTCTTTTATGAATCATTGTGAAAATATTGATAAAAAAAGTAAAAAAAAAAGATCTTTTTATTTTTTTATATAAAAAATGAGGATCATACATCCTAAATCCTAATATAATTACTCAACATGTGTATCATTTCTTTTTTAACAACCTTATAGTATTTACTAAAATTGATTTTGGCCGAAATTAATAAAATCACATGATATTTTCTATATATTGAATAATTTGTATAAATTTACTTATAACAAAGATGAATGCTAAATTCATATTGATTATATATATATTTATTTACAAAAATAACATTTATAATGGAAAACAATTTTATAATTCTTTTTTATTAGAAATTATATTTTAATAAATATATTATAATATTACATATTATATTGTAAATATTTTTATTATTTAAATTTAATAAAACTATCAAATATTATAGAAGATTTTATTCTTCTTTGGATACATTGTTACAGATAAAAGAAAATTTTATAAATAAAAGAGAAAATTGCTTCTAAAAATTTTATTCTAAAATTATTTCAAAAAAAAGAACTATTTTAATAATTCTTTGCTAATTGCCTTTCTATTATCATTACTAATATTTTTTAAAAAAGATGGTGGAATCATTGCAGACTTTTAACTATTTTTTACACAAAATTTATGAATAAAATAAAAAAATTCATATGTTTTAAAAAATTTTAAATGATAAATTCTCTTATTTTCAGATTTTAATGCTTTTTTTTAATTTGTTTTCAAATAATTCTTTATCATTATATATTTCAAAAAACATCATAAATTTAATATTATTTTATTCAGAGTTATTAATGCATCTTCTTTGATTAATCCTACAAAATTTTTGAACCTTCTCATTCTTTCTTTCTTTTCTTCAATAAAATTTTATTTTGTAAAATTGCTAAAATTTTTCTCTCTTCTTAATTTTTTGCTTTTTTATTTTTAATATAATTAATCAAAGTTTCTTTCATTTTTTCCTAAGATGCATTTTTCTAGATGGTTTTTTTGAACTTCTTCTGATTCAAATTCTTCAGTTTCTTATATATGAATATTAGCCAAATTTATTTGAAGTTCTTGTAAATTCAATTATAAAATTTTTTTAATATAAAATTTGATCAATAAATATTCATAAAGAAATTTAAGAATGATCATACATACCTTTAATATCTTTTTCAATTTAAAATTTTCTTTTTTCATTTTTTTTAATGTTTTTTAAGCCTTTCATTATTTAATCTTACTTTTGTAATTACAGTTTCTATACCGTCTTTAGATTCTTCCCATGGAGATTCTTCTATGTATTTTATATATTTTATATTTTTATATACAATTTCATTATTTATTATCAACATATATTCATTATCACTGCAAAGATTTGCTACTGAGATAAAAATATGTTTTTGATTTTTGTCTAACTTTTCATTATTAGCCATGATGTGAGAGAGAGAGAGGGGCTTCCCTTAATTTTTTCAGATAATTGATATCAACTATGAGAATAACGTAACTAAACCAAAATGATTTTGATCAGACTTTTTCTAATATAATTAAATTATTCTAATAGCTTCCATCCTAATATACATTTATGTGTATAAATCTATAATAAATTCTAAAAGAAAATATTATATTTATTATAAATAAAAAAAGTATTAAAAAAAAAGGAGAAAATTGTAGGGAATTGTTAAAATAATTTTTTTTGTTTTGTTTTTTTTTTATTTATTTTTTTTTCACAAATTTTTCAGGCCTTGTCATTTATTCAAGAAGTTAATTTTTTATAAGATTAATCATATACTTCACTATAGAAAAGACACGTTTGTATAGAATGCTCATAATTTAAAGTGTATGATTATCTGCCACTATTGAAGTAATGTATTAGAAAGTGAAAGAAATTGACTTTTCACCATAATAATAGATCTCTATTCAGGATATGAAAGCAAGTAGTTAATTCATTTGTTAATGCATTATTCTTATTTTTGTTTTTGAACTAACATTTAAAAAGTTCTAATGAATTTTCAGTCTAAACAAAATTTTCATATTATTCATGTGATAAGAAACCTTCACTAATCTGCAACCAACTTTGCAATCCTTTTCATTAAAAGTTTTGAGCTTTATTAACAGATCAAGTAGAGTAGAGAAGGTTGATATTTGTGAAAGATAGGTCCAGTAATTTACTAATTTTGTTTTAATTCCTTTAATCATTTTATAATATGCATTATACTATCAAAATATGATAATATAGGTATACAAAATGGCTTTAGTAGATTAATAATAAAGGCTTATAGAAAGGCAATAATTCATCTGAAAGTATCTATACTATCTGATAGAAGGTATGAAGTAGCTCTAATATATCTTTTAATTCCTTTCTTATCATTAGAATCCAGATAGTTATCTTTTATATTGAAATGGATTGTACAACAATAGCGTCTTAAGTTTGACAAGTTATTTAAGTATAAGTTAAGTTGAGTTTCACCAGTATTAACATTAAGTTCAGGATAGAAGAAAGGTAGATCTAAAATTATGAAGATTCTTTTGAGATTTATATATTGCTAGAAATAACTCAAGCATTTGATGTGTTAACTCCAATAAACCTGATCATCTTTTTTTAATTTTTAAGTCTTCTACAAGCTCAGGAAATTCTTTTGAAGAAAATTGCCTATATGAGAATCATGCAGAAGGATAAGATTAAAGAGTAAGCATTACTCATTTATCATTAATCTAATGAACAGAGACTTCAAAGAAGATTTGTTAGATACATGCAATCTATATATCTAATATAAGGACCAGTTTTACTTCAATTCCTTTGTTAAAGTTCTTTTATTTTTATCCTTGCTAATTTGAATTGTTTTCTAATATTTTTAGAAAGATATTGTAGGATAAGTAATGAGAAAAAAAGGCTTTATATATTATTTTTTTTAATAAGGTCTTGCCTTTTTTTTAATCATAATTAAATTATAATTAAATTATTACAATTAGAGAAAAAACATTTACAATTTTTTAATAAACTTTTAAATAATATTTTTCATATTTCAACAAACTATTATTAGTGATAATTCATTTGCACAACTAAATGACTGCGTCAACTAACATTATTAGTAATAATCTGTTTGCATAACTAAATGACTGTGTCAACTAACGTCACTAATGATCACCAGGAAAATTGTGATCATTATTTTCACTGATTTCACTGCTATCACGGTTATCATTGTGATATTTATTTTCATTATTATAACGTTTATCATTATTTTATTTATTTTATTTATTTTCATAGTTATATTTACTTTCACTATTATATTTATTATTTCTATCTTATAATTGTATTTTATATAAATATCCTGTATTGTCGCCTTGACAAACTAACAAGTTTCAATCATATAATTAATAAAGTATAATCTTAACAACATAAAAACTATATCTTTGTTAATATCTATTTCCTTAAAAACATAAATCATCAATAAAGACGACTTGACCCTTCAACTTAAATAAATTTGTGTTTATTTCTTTCATAGTTTACAACTTAAACTCACTGTTAGCAAATAAGCTTTGTTATCCTAACGACATAGTATTTAGACTTAACAAGTGGTGATTCCTGCCAGGTGAATCTTTATTGAAGATATACACAACGAACCACTAAAGGACTAGCAAGGTGTATCAATTTTGAGGAACTTGAGAGAACTACCTCAGAGCATATAGTTAGGCATTATTTAGACGAACCCCTTAACTGAGATTATACTTGTAATTAGTGTTATCCACCCCCATTAGAAACTCTTTCCAATAGTTTTAAAAATTTCTGGAATTGGTTTAGACGAAAATATCAAGCAGACACTTTTACTTCAAGAATCATCATTACCTTTAACCTATTTGAACAACTTAGTAGTACTCCTGAATCTGAACATCGTAACTCTTGTCTAATAAGAGTTATATACAGTAGCGGTCATAAGTATCCAACCCTCATAATTCTTAAAGTTAATTAATAATATCTATTAAATTTTTTTTAAAATTTAAGTTCAATACTAACCTTGATA